AGGGCTCAGGGGAGGCTCGGTCTTGCTTCGCTGCTCTCGAAAGAGAGAAACGGCACTTTCTGAGTTTTACTTTCTGGTGTCTGTAGGGCAGGTCTGGGAAAGTGCCAGCCCCGATACTGGCTTTTCTGCAGCTATTTGTGGTAAAGGAAACTTGCCTACGCATTGGGTTAATTTTGATGTGAGAACTGATGGAAAACTTTTGTGTCTTAGTTGCTAATAATAAAATATCAGTGAAAATAACGTGAAAGTCATCATGTTTCCATTTGGTAGCGCAATGTGACTTATTTGGTCACAGCGGTGCTGCTGTTGTGGACTTTCAGAGGACATGAGACTCATTGGGCACAAGCCTTTTGATGGAAAATTTTGAGCCCCCCCCGAGAGGGCTAGAACAGTGTGTTGGCAGCAAGATGCTCTTCTGCAAGTAACTGCTTTTCTTTGTGACAGCCCTTCATCCATATATAGCTTGCTGCTTTAGGCTTCACTCTGTGGTGTTGTAATTGAAATATTTTGATAAACTGTTGAAGAACTGATGAGAGTTGGTGTTATCACCCCCTTTATGCTTCTGATAAATGTTATACAAGGGTGCTTTTTATACTCAACCTTGTAGCAGTTGAGATCTGGACCTACTTACCCAACACAACAGAATAATTAATTTGTGTTACCAAAATCTCCAATTTTATTGCTAGATGAAGCCAAATAAAACGTGGACTGTAGGTTATTCTAGTATTCCTTAAAAAAATGTTTGGAGGGGTGGTTTTGTAGTTTGAGCTTGGTGTGTAGGTGTACATAGAACTTAGGAGTTCTGGGGCAGAAAATGGCATAAACAACCAATGTGTAAAGCCTGCTAAGTGAAACCTGCCTGTCTCTGTTCTGTGCACTGAAGGAGAAGAGAGGTTTGCAGAGTAAGAGTGCAGAGACTTTATTTTGAAAATGATTGTGGAAAGAGCTGGGAGTGGTATCTGCATGGGAGAGAACGGGTCTTTAGCATTTTAGATGATAGTAGCAATACTAAGATACTTGCAGTAAGTAAAATAAGTTTAAAGTTCAGTAATTGATGATGGTGCCTAAAATAAAACAGTAAAACTCCAAATATAGCAATGAAATGAAAATAAAATAAGGTGAAATATAAAGATTAAGGGCAGCATTAAATGTGTCTACATTCTGAAGGCTTGTTTGTATAAATTTTGACTGGTTTGATGAAGAGGCTTTCAGGAATTTCTTTGTAAAATGTGAATATATCCATCATCATTTTTATCGGGTTTAATTAAAAGTTTTTCAATACTAAGTCATCAAAAATGCTTTGGAATTTCAGATAAAACTATAGGCAGTAGAACATAGAATTCCATTACCAGAAACCTGCAGAAATTAGGAAAGTTAAGTATAATTCATTATTACAGTAATAGAAGTTGAAAAGCTTGGGCAGAGCAAAAAACTTGAAAGGAGTGGTTTTTGGTATTGTGTGCTGACAATTTTGGGAGTTACAGGAGAGGTTTTGGCTCTTAGTGAAGGAAATAAAAGTTGAAAAGATGCTAAGAAGAGTGTTATACGGTAGAAGTACAGAGGTTAGCCATTGAGAGAAGGGAGCAGGCAATTATTTAAGCAAGACGCAATCTCTGCTGTGAGATTAAGATGTAAATCTCTATCTGCAGAGCGCAAAGAGGAAGAAAGTGGAAAGGGAATGAAAGGTTCTGTGACTGAGTAGTACCTGAGTGGCAATGATTGACATTAATGAACTGGTGGGAGGAACTCCATAGAAAATCTATTGTAATAAAAATGTTATTAGGATCATACTGGAAGAATTCTGAAAAGAATTGTCCATTTGGTATCTAAATACACTGATCAAAATACAGTTTGTTTCAACTGCTACCCCTTAACACTTGATATCGTGCAGGCTGACAGCCAAACAAATGCTTAAGAGGGCATGGGTATGTTTAATCTTCTATGAGCTTTATGGTCTGATGTCACAATGTTCGTTTTAGCCCTGTTTTTTCCCTTTGGAAGAACGTTCTCTCTCTCCTTTATTTATTTATTTATTTTAAATGTTTGAATGTTAATCTTCCTTAGAGGTTATACTTTCTACTAGATGCATAGTCATCTCATTGTGATATATCAAAAGTACTTTAATGCTGATCAGAAAAAAAATGTTAGTTTATTCAGTTTTCCCAGAATGACTTAACTGGGAAACTATCGCTATACTTTGTCTTATATATAAACATATATATACATATATATATATATAGGTTATTCTCCTTGAGTTACTTCTGATAATCTCAAATCAGACTTACCCGGTAAAGGGGGGCATGTTACTTTAGGACATTGTGAAACATTATGCTGTTGGGGTGACAGCCAGCATTCTGTTTTTGAAGGTTAATGTTTCTTTACTGTATGTTTTTAAAATACCACTTCTAATATGCAAAGGCACTCAAATAGCATCTGATTTCTTTTCCGGACAAGAAGAGCCGACTTTCTGTCTGTTAATATAATTCATGAAAGGTAGTGTGACCTCGTGGGGTTGGTTTTCTAATGACTACTGTTTGTGCTATTTTACCCTGGCTTCAACCATCAGCTTGTTTTTAAGTTTAACTCCCTTATCATCAGCACTGTGTTTGTAAATTGCTAAAAATTCTTCATTACATTGTTGAAGATAATTTTATCTTTGTGTAGAAGACTTTCCTTTTTTTGAGGACAATTCAGACATTGAGTGCCATTTCTAAACAGTTACATAGTGATACTTATCAGATATATTCTTTGGTATAAAAGATGCGTGGCAGATGTTTTTATTCAAAACACCATGTTATGAAAATGTCTTCAGCCCAACCCATTGTAAAAGAAAATACGCCTTGCTTGACTGAACTCTGTACTCTAAATGAGGATTTTCGTTTTCACCTTAGTCCAGTTAAAGGACTTTCTTAAGTTGTGCCTGAGTGTATTACATCTTACTGCCCTACAACTCACACACAGTCTTTAGGCCTGTTATGCTTTCAGACTTACTGTTGCACAGGTTAGTGAATGAATTATTCAGCTAGTTTTTTGAACTGGTTTTGCAGCCTGCAACTAACTTAATTTAGAGCTGACATGTCTGTGGTCCTCGAACTCAAGACTTAAGTTTCAAGCTAGTTCAGATATGCCAGCATGAACTGTATTTGCTGCAGTAAATTGTATTGTGTGTTTATTTCAACTGCTGGAAACAGGACTGTGGGGAGAATGTACTGTGTAATATACTGAAGTGCACTTGTGATGCAAGTGAAATAAGAATTTGCAAAATCGTAATTCTTATAGTATTCAGTAACTATAAAACCAGGAGGGAGATATTCATCAGCATGCATGAAACTCTGCTTGCTTTAATTCCTGCCACCAGATGACTTCTAAACATACAGATCTTCTGGTCATAACTTATGGTTATGCCTTTTCTTTAAGTTGCTGTGGAACTAAAAGATCTTGTTCTTCAAGTATGTTTCTTTTTCTTTCTAGGAACCACAGGCATGGCAACTACGCAATCTGTCTTCACATTTGCTCTCTGCATTTTAATGATAACTGAATTAATACTGGCTACGGAGAGCTATTATGATATCTTAGGAGTTCCAAAAAATGCATCTGACCGCCAGATCAAGAAGGCATTTCACAAGCTGGCTATGAAATACCACCCAGACAAAAATAAGAGTCCTGGTGCAGAAGCAAAATTTAGAGAAATTGCTGAAGGTAATTCATGCTAGCTGTGGTGCGAATAAGTAGATACATGGCTTATACCTGGAAACAAATACAGTAGTTTAAGTATACTGTGCCTTTGCTGGATAAAAGGTGGAGAGCCCTTCGGCCTCTCCCGTCCTCTGCGATGTAAACTGCACTGTCTCAATATCAGATTCCTTTTTTGGTCCTTGCGCACAGGGCAAGCCTTTTACACAGCTTAGTCATTCCTGCCTATTGGACTTTTTGGCTCAAGCCTCTGAGCACAGAAGTTCTTGGCAATGGGCCAAAGGAGGCTGTTTCAAATATTATTCTTATCTTTTCACCTGTATAGTAAAATCCAACTCAGGATTACTTGGATTATTAGGGCTTCAGAGGGACCTAGCTGCAGCTTTCCTGTACCTGTGGGGAGGTTATCAAGAAACTACAGCCAAGCTGTTCAACGGTGCCAGTACCAGTAGTAGTAGACACAAGAGGCTCAGACTAGCTATGAGGAAAAACATTTTCATCATTGAAGACTGGCAAGCAGGTTGCCCAGGGAAACTGTACCTCCATCCTTGGAGGTTTTCAAGAATGATCGGATAAAGCCCTGAGTAACCTGCTCAGGTCTCTTAGCTGGCCCTACTTTGAGCAGGAGGTTGTGCTGCGTTCCTTTGACGGCAACGCATCAGGCAGCTCATCTTGTTAAGGAGAGCTCCCCTTCTCCCTGCTTCTGTTTTTTCTGCTAGCCATCCATCGTTGCTTTTATCTTACAAATATAAATGCTAATTTTTATTGCTGGCTAATGAACTGTATTGTATAATGTGCAGTTAATATTTTGAGAATATAATCCCTCTTAATGTTTTAGCTTGGTTTCTTTTGAAACAGCTTATTCTGGATTTTAGAGTGCTAAAAAAATAATAAGCTTAATTTGACTTGCATGTCTAATGAGTCTTGCCTGAAATATGTCTTGTGGAGGGAGTGAGAGGGGGCTTTTGTTTTGTATGTGATTTTATTTTTTAATGAGAATGTAAACAGTAACTTTAAAACTTTTTTGTTTTTTAATGAAAATAGCCTATGAAACATTGTCAGATGAGAATAAACGAAGAGAGTATGATCAGTTCGGCCGTCATGGAAGACAGGAAAGTAATGGAAGTCCTTTTCGCCAGTCATTTAATTTCAACTTCGATGATTTGTTCAAAGACTTTGACCTCTTTAGTCAAAACTCACGGTCAAAAAAACCCTTTGAGAGTCACTTCCGCAGTCACCGGGAAGCTCACAATCGGCAGAGACGTTCTTTCCAGGAGTTCTCATTTGGAGGTGGACTGTTTGATGATGTGTTTGAAAATATGGAAAAAATGTTTTCTTTTAGTGACTTTGAAAATGCACATCGACACGCAGTGCGGACTGATAACAGGTTTCATGCATCTAGCAAGCACTGCAGGACTGTCACCCAGCGGCGAGGAAACATGGTCACTACTTACACGGACTGTTCAGGACAATAATGTTTCCTTTCTCTTTTCATCTGTTCTTGGTTCAACATCTTCACAGTCTTTCTTGGTTTCATGCTAATATGGAGAAATTTCCTTAAACTGTTCTAGAGAAACACTTAACATTACTGCTATAAAGAAATTTCACATAAAACATTCTTCTAATGGAAACAGCATGCAGTTGGAAAATAATCGTCTCAAAAGCTACTTTGTATGGGAAGGGGAGAGAAATTCTCATGTGACAGAAGATAGATCTGTATTTCAATTTAGTGAACACTGAGCAATTTTGAATTTCAACGCATGATATATCTTTAATTTTTGAAATGTAATATAAACTTTTTTTCCTTGTATATGCTGGTTCAGGGCTGTTTGAGTTGCTGAGTAACTGGTGTATAATTTTCAGCAGAGGAGAGAGGAGCTCCTGAATTCTGATGTGTTGCCTTTTTTTTTTTTTTTTTTTTTAATCTGATATGGACTTACCCTGTGATTTATCTTAATTCGGAAAAAAATAGAAGTGAAATTGCAACTTCTCTGGGTCTTCCCCTGACTGCTCTCTCCAGTCTTGCAAATTTGTTTAGAAATAACCACTTTTTTTTTTCTGCTTCAGTTGGGTTGTAAGAAGAGAGTATACTCCACCTAGAAGGTGATATAGGAGTTGCTTATATATCCAGGTAATCTTACGTAGGTCTCTAAAGATTAAACTTTAATACGTTAGGGCTATTTTTTTTTTCTTAATACAAATTTCTTTTTAACCCCATCTGAAAGAGCATACTGCAAATACTTTTGTTTATGCTTATTATATTACCAGATGCAAAATGTATTTTCCATATCTCAATTTATTGAACTTAAATACTCCTCAGTGCTCTGGTGAACTTGAACAAGATAACCTTAGCTCCAGATGCCTTGCCTTTCTCGAAGTTTCTAAATAAGGAATAAATATATTGTGTTTAGAATGACAGATTTATTACCTGTCAGCAGGTGTTTCAGCTTTGTCATTTGTATAAATGCAGAGTTAAACTGAAAATTAAAAGCCATTCATCTGTTTTTTTTTTTTTTTATAGTGCTGGAATGTGATAATAAAGGCAATGCTAATGGGTAATAATTTCAGCACTGTGGAAATCTATAACCAGTATAACCTACTTAAGAGGTTAAAAAAAAGCGATACTCTAATTGATGTCAATCCAAAAAAATGCAATCTACTTGATTTTTAACTGGTAATATAGGTCCAATATATTAAACTGGTTCCCCCTAGTAAGATGGCTGTCACCCGCAAACAAGGATTTCCCCTCAGAATTCGGAGTTAAGACTTTGCCTTTCAGATGGATTGCATGAACAAAATGAGCATCTTAAACCGCAGTGTTTTCAATAGGCTTTGGTTTCTTAATGTTTATTAGAGATTTAACCGTTTCCTTCTGAGACTGATATGAAAGCTGCCTATTTGCTAAGTAACTTTAACCTTCCCCACATGAGTATGTATTGCTTGTTCAGTTTTCGTTCACTAAATACTTAGAGAATGGATTGCTGCATTGTATTAAGTTCTTCTCACTTACATGTTCTTTTTATTTATTAATAGACTAATACCTCATATATGGTCTTTATAAAAAGCCAGTAATTTGTGCAACATTATTGGAAAGTGCAATATTCTTTTAGTAGGAAAAGTGCTGGGGTGTATGTATATGTTATTTCCACCTATTTTCAGAGAAAGTAGAGATTTTTGTTTCTTCCATTATAATTAATATATGACTGAATTTAAATGTGTAATTCATTTAGATTTTGCATCTTTTTTTAAGATCAGTCCCATGCATGAATCAGTCCGTCTGTTTCATACCACATGGGCATCCAAGTGAACAAATTATCACTAAACTCTGAATTACTTTATCTCACAAATGGATACAGAAACCTCTCATAAAAAAATCCCACTGATAAGTAGGCCTTGCTATGAAAGATGTGTCCTTTTAATAATAAAATGGAAGAGTATCAGAGAGTCACCTTACAGATGGTTAAGTGCTGGAATTTAGAAGTGCAAGGCAACCCTACAGGCAGGATGGAAAGATCAACAGTTAAAATATTCCCCAGATTAATATTTTAAAAAATGTCCTCCAGAAAGAACAGAATTGGAGCCATTTTTTAAGCCTGGGTGAAGGAAGGTTTAAAGTCTTTATTAGAACGAAGGTCCTGATCTCTCTTAAGGGTAGTTTTCTGTCATTGTGAACTTGGGTCTGTTCTGCAAGAGAGGTCTGTATGCGTAATCCTGAATTAGAGGAGTAGAAGTTAAAATGAGCTCGGAAAATTGTACAAATCTCAACTGTACCCCAGATTTAAATCAATTTTTAGTGCGTGAGCCAGAGCATTGCCTTTCAGGGTTAATTTAGGTGAAGACTGGGAGTCCTTGGCTGCTTCTAAATAGCTCCTCCTTAAGAATGTCTGACATTCTTAATGCAACGTGTGCCGGTTTTGTTTGTTTTTCCTCCTTTTTGAAGTCTGAAATTGCTAATAAAATGATGAGGTTGCTTGTTTTTTAGGTAATTGTCTTTTTGCTGGAGGAGCATGGGCTGATCACTTGCCATCAGCATTCTTTAGCTCCCTGGGAGCACAAGCTGGCAAAACCTGCTGTGCTTCTCACTTATTCAAAGCTCTTGCACATTCTTGTCCTATTTATAGCGTGTGCTTCGCGACGGGCTCTTTAACAGAAGTCCTACAACACCTCTAACTTAGACATTTCTCAAGTTTGTTGTCCTTGGTTTCTCTGTCTTGTGGAAGGACCCAGCAGAAACTTGTTTTTGGAGGGTGGAAAATACAATTTTTACTAATTTCTTGAAAAATATTTCTGCATACATAACTCTAAATGCTTGAGTTACTAAAACTTCACGAAAGATGAGTGATTTACTTTTTTTTTTTCCACTTTTGAAACACAGTTGGTATCTAATAGAGATGAAACTACTGTAAACTTAATTAGGGTGCCATTCATTAAATATGTGAAAAAATGTTAATGTGTCATTATGTTTTTTTTATTATTATTATTAAGGTGGTCTCAAGCACTTGTAGACCACCACATTTTCCCTGGAAGAATCTGTGGGGTTATGGGGGAAGACAAGGGGATAGTTGAAAGAGAAATAGAAGAAAAAAAAAATCCCTCTAGTCTCTTATTCATATAGAGAAAGAGACATGGGGAATCAGTTGGATTTTAGGAATTAGGCGTAAAAAAGCCTCTGCAAAAAGCTATCCTAGAGGCAGTTGTTGTACTAGCTGAGAGCTTCTTTGTTTTGCTCTGTCTACATCTCGGGGTGTAAAAGTATTTGATCTGGATTCCCATGGTAAAATGGGGGTCTGGAGCCAAGGCTGGGATGTTGCCGTGCTGATTTCAGGGTCGACCTGGTCTTTTTCTTAGGAGGAATAAGACAATGGGAAAGTGCCAGGGTGCATTTGTCATTAGAACCTGCTTTCCTCAAGCCTAAGCAAATTTAACAATTTAAAAACAAATTTTGTGTCCTAAATGTGTTAGAGTTAATGGCCCATCTGTGCCAGGAATGTCTATTAAGAGTTTTCCTGTGCAATATAGAGTGTCTTGGCGGTTTTATGTATGGGATGCACTTCAGAATAGAGCCATGTGGGGCTTCATTTGGCTCTGGTCCCTGCCATGGATTAAACCAGGCTGGTTTGCACTCAAGCGCTGATTCATACAACCGGACTAGACATTTCCGGAGCGTGAACACCTGTTTCTTTGTCTTGTTTGTGGAGGTGGTGAACTGGGCTATATTACATTGTGTCCAGTAAGGAAGCACCAGTAGCTGTCGGGACTCAGATTTAGGGAACAGAGAAGTGCGGAAGCAGTTGTGTCTGGTAGCTTAGATGGAGAACTGCACAGAGCTCTGTATTATGTACAGTGAAAAAGTACAAGTTGTCTTTGGGACAGAGAAGTGTGTCTATGTGAGCGGCAGCAGCAATGGTTCCCTCTGCTAACTTAGCTGGGGTTTCCCTCGCATAGGTCTGTCTGGGCTTTGTGAGCACTGCTCCTGGCCCTCCTGACTAGCAGATGCAAGCGGGGAGAGAAATTCATGAATGTTTAGGGAAAATGGATATATATATATATATAATATATGGAGGACTTAGGCAAGGAAGCCAGAGTGGTAAAAAAAAGGGCTGAGTAAATGTTGGGCTGGCTCTACAGAAAGTCTGGAAATTGTGGAAGACCCCACTAGTTGTTGGGACAAACTGCTCATGCCACGTGTGAATCCACACGTGAACCTGCTGCAGTGCAAGACAGAGACTTGTTTTAGTATCATACACTGCATGGGGCACAGTGTGGGGACGTGCGAGTCCTGCCAGCTGATGATCCTTGGGACTTGAGGGCACACGGTGTCCTCTACCCTGAGGGGGTGGAGGGGCAGGTAGCGGGTCAGAGCCCACCATGCTTGTTAGCCGAATGCCTTCTACAGATAAGAAGGAAAGAAAATGTGTTTTAGGTGGTTGCTTGCTGATGATGCTGCCATCATCTGTTCTTCATCTCCCGCTGGCTCGGAGGTGAGGATGCTAAACAGGACAGAAGAAAGATAAAGTGAGACTCGTCTGAGGAGTCCAACTGATTTTAATCCATTTAAATTTAACACCTGGCACTTGCAAGATTTTAGCTTTAGATGTACAGAATTTTAGGTACTAATTTAATGAAAAATTGTGTTTTATGCTCATGGGGCAGCAATAACATACATTTCTGTTCTTTGTAAAGTGCTTATTGTTGCATGATAGAACTATGAAATTACAAAACGGAGCTGAAATGCTTGTCTTGGGGCAGATTTCTCCAGACTCTGCCTGGCTGAAGCTCAGGAGCCTTTAAAATGCCAGTGAGCTAATACTAAATATGCAGATTGCCATCGCATAATGCAAATATCCTCTCTTCAGCCCAAATGACTTAATGAATCCAAATGACATTTATTCGGTCATTTTGCTTTTATTTATAAATTGGTGATATGGGAGACATTCTAAAATGATGTGCATTTTGTTAAACTCACATGCAGGGTGTCAGTTTTACTGCCTCAGGGTAGCAACTTGGTAGCTGAAAGGGCAGGGAGGCAGCAAGGAGGGAGTGTGTTGCTGGAGTCAGTTCAGCGTGCGGCGTAGATAAATAGCTATGCAAATGGAGAGTATATACACCTTTTACCCGGTTTCATGGCTTCCAAAGGCAGATGCTGCAGAGTTGTTTCTACTAGGAAATGAATAGAGTTTGTGGTTAAATGTCTTCAAAGTCAAGAT